GGTAATTCTCATTATATTTACTGAGTTTCAAAACAGAAATATGTGCCTACGGGTGCCATGTTAAGTACTGTAATGTGTCTGGAATAATATCCACACCCACACCTCAATCAATACCCGTAGAATATGATAGTTGTATGCACAGCTACCGTCAATTCAAAAACTGAGTGTGTAAAAACACTGTATACTTTTTGATCTTGAGGAAAGACGAAATCGTAGAAAGCGCTTATTTTTTCTTGTTCATAACGCTTTCAAGATCTGAAACGAAAATATATTTATCATAAAGCTTTTAGTGGCAGCCCATGTAAGTCAGGGGGAAGCGTGCTCAACCAAGGGCAATAAATCCTGCTCAGTTTAACATATGTTGTATTAATAAGAGTTTCATGAATTTTGACGCAAGCCGTTTTAAAAAACACTAAACAATGGATTTTTTTAGGCGTTTTACAAAAAGTTCTAAAACTGTTCAATACCACTGAGGGGAATAGATCTTGTTGGGACCTTATCTCAATAATGATATCATCCGTTGAGTTGAATTCGTTTTGTGAAGATGCAACTTTATGAGTTCTATCTAAGAATAACAGTTCTACTTTAGAATATTGAGTATTTAAGTTTTGATGACTCATCTCAGATGAGCAAAAATACACGATTTGAGTGAATTTAGACTTTCATATTACTATAAAGTCAGTAGTGTCAAATCTGAAAGTTGAATTCAATTATTGAAAATCAACTTCAATTATTCAATTATTGAATAGTTTGTTTTTGAAGTATTCAACTATTCCTTTTTTCGGGAAGCCATGAGCCGTCTCTTACTCCTTTCTCCGCACTCACACCTGGTCGTGTGTTGTGTGCGTATGAAGGTATAGAAGTCCTCTGTTCCCCACCCTCCAAAAAGCAATAATTGAATAATTGAACCTCAACTATTGAAGAAAAGAATAATTGAATAGTTGAAGTTGATTTTCAGTAATTGAATTAAACTTTCAGGCTTGACATGTATGAGATAATCATTTCAGCTCCATATGTGAGAGTGAGTCAGCCACGATCCGAAAATACTTTCGAAAGGGTCTCACTCTATCTGCAACAGCCTTTTCTAAAACGTAACCATTATACTACAACTCGGATGTAGGTGTAGGTGTGAGTAATTAGATAGAAGCCTGATCCATACTCATACCCATAAGTTGATCTATTATGTTTGATAGGAAAACGAGTCATGAGATCAGAAAGAATCGTGAATAAGTTGATTGAAACTAAATTGAATTATTTAAAAAGGTAGAAGTATCATTTTACATCTAGAGATTGTGCTAGGACAATAAGAATATGATTATTATATTTTTAGAAGTATCACGGATTTCAGTCAGATTCAAGAGCAAGACTTCTTACAAACTCAACATGATTGTGATGGTTAGATGAGTCTTCGACTGCATGCTATTGAGTGCTTTCAATCTGCATAAGGTTACTTCAAATTTATTTCACCCAGTTGATAAGCAATCGAGAAACTAAAGGACCTGCATGCATAGTAGTATGCAAACAACCCCTTGTGTGATCAATATAGGGTGTGGGTGTGGGTGTGCGTTTTTACGAAAGAAGGATTCACACATACACCCACCCATCCACACCCACACCCCCGTCTGTATATAATACTGCATGGAACGCAAGTGTTTAGTCAACAGTACAAAAAGGACAAAGAATTAATAAAAGAAACACGACCATAGAACAGTCAAAAAGTCAACAATCGATCAGCGATCACAGAGCGAATGAGAACATAAGATATACGCTGTGAATAATAATGGATAATGATGGTTTGAGTCTATCTGTTTGCCTTCTTGTTTGTTATTAAGACTCGCGTCAAAACGGTTTGATCGCACATGTCAACAAGCGACGTCTTGTTTTTTCTCTCATAATACATTATAGAATGACTAAGATAAAAATGCTCATTCAATATATTCTCATAACAATGTAGTACTGATGGATGCATTATCTTCCTTGTGTGCGTAATCTATAGATATAATGTTCAGTGTGTCTCTGCCGGTTCAAAGGTTAAAGGTTGCATAGGACTATAAGGGGAAGATCTCCAGGAGCTATTATATGGAGGTACATATAGGTCTTCAAGGGCAATCCTATGAAAGTACCCATATGTCTTGAGGGCCTATTATATGGAGGCACGCATGGATCCGCAAGGGCTATCCTATGGGGATACCCATAGATCTCCTAGGTGTATTATATCGGAGTACCCATAGGTCCTCTGGGACTATTATATTGGGGGGGGGGGGGGGGAACGCGATGTCCCCTACCCTTAAAAAAAATTAGTTGAATAATAAACCCCAAAAGGGTGGGAAAAAGTGAAAGGGCTAAAAACCCCG